AATTACAATCAGTTTACTAATCATTTTTCATATCATAATAATACCCCAGATAGAGAGTGTGTGTTGCAATTTTCCTGAAATTTAATAAAGCTTTAATGTAACTAATTGTAAAACATTTCAGAACATATCGAATCGTGATTCAAATGACCTTTCATTTGAAATATTAATTAAAATTGGTTCATATTTTCTATTTCATTGAGAGTGTAACAAGTATTGTTAGCATATATTCGAAGATAAATGAACTAATAATATTCGATCAAGTCCACATATGTTGCGTCATCAAATCGTTATACAAATATGCGTAAGAATATTCAATTAATAATAACGTAAGTGACAGGGTTGGGCTATACAACTGTTTAGAATATATCTGGCCTGCTCATTCATGAACAACTGATCTACAATGAAAATAAAAGAATATCGCCAAAAGAAATTCCGGACTAACTGTTAAAAAAATATGAATCTGAAATACATTTGCCATGATGCCAGTTCATCGATATCACTTTCCGAATTTCCGAATGATGCTCAATTTTAAACAAATCATCGTCATTACTGCGAAATGGATTAGCTACTATTAGTTGAAGTAATAACTATATTCACTGGATCAGTGTTCGTAATATGATGGATTCGTGTCAAGAGCCGATTTTTTATCACCATAGTATTTTCAGTGCCTTTCATTAAAACACTATGAAGCACTGATAGGATCAATATAGAACTGCAACATCCTTCTCAAAGCCCGTTTAATCAACCGATTCACCAAAACTAGATTGTGTTTACAATATAAGAACATAGGCTTTTACGACCGGAGTCATTATTAAAAATATTAAGTTCATTCTAATCTCTGAGATGAGTCTAGTTACATTCCCTAATGACGCCAACTTGGTTGGTGCAAAACGAGTCAAAAATAGTGTTGCAATACTGGTTATCTCTGGCTAGGAAAGGTATAGAATCGACCATAGCTGGCTGGATCTATGCCATGCTGGTAAACAGAACTGCAACTACGACTACATTAGGTTAAGGGTCACCAGAGGCTGCTCTCAAGGTGGGGTACTATCTCCCCTTCTGTGGTCGCTCCTAATGGATAGTCTGCTTGATGCCCTCGACAGAAGAAAAGTAGATCTGCAAGGTTATGCAGATGATCTTATCATATTGGAAAGGTCCACGTCGGGAAGGATAGCTTGCAATATCCTCCAAAGCACGATGGACGTTGTCACAGTTGGTGCCTGAGGGAGCAGATGTCTGTCAACTCCAGCAAAATTGTGATAATCCCCTTCACCAGGAGGAGAAAAGCCAGACTGCCCATATGGACATGTCGAAGTATTTGTAGTAAAACTTGGGGTTTAAGTCCCAAACAAATCAATTGGATTTATGAGATGATTGTCAGACCAATGATCACTTATGGTGCAATTGTCTGGTGGCCGAAGGCTTTGCAGAAAACCACCCTGGCGAAGCTCTCTGGCTTACAAAGACAGGCTTGTCTGGCCATTAGTGGTGCCATCAGTACCACACTGTCAGAGGCCATGGAGATCCTTCTAGATCTACCTCCTCTCCACATTTTTCTGGAGAGAGAGAGGCTAGAAGGACTGCACATTGCCAATTGCACAAATCAATTTAATGCAGAGTGCAACAAACTGTTGGTTGACACTGGAAGTCACAGATTTCTGGATATGACCTCTAACTTTATGCCTCCAACTGTTAACTACGAACTGCCTTATAAACAGGTCTTCTCACAAGTAACAGTCATCTGAATTATCATATGCTGAGATTTGGACTGTCGGAAGACAGTCCGGTTCTCTGCTTGGAAAATGATGACACAGCAGATCGCATACTTTGTGCCTGCCCCGCTGGGGACCTAATCAGATTTTCAGAGTTTGGCAGAGCCGTAGTCTTACCATCTGCCCTGAAAGACCATTCGCCATACAAACTATTCGGCTTCGTTAAGAAATTGGGTTTATTTGGTCGAGTGTGAATAGGTGTGAGCCACAGTAAATCCTTGCGGGTTGCAGTGGAAGCTCGAATAGATCCAATCACTTTTGACCTAACTTAACCTAACCTAGTGGATGTACATTGATCAAAACAAATCACCAAGTCTATCAAATTCAAAATTGGGAAAGATATAGCTAAATATACACAGTGGGCTACAAACGTAACCTTGTGTAATGCCCACAACATTCATCCGAAACCGGTACCCACGTTCGAGAATACGTTAGATATATTTCTGAATAAGCCTACCCAAATTCTCCCAGTTGTCATATTAACATTCAATTGTCTTTTCCGAATCACCTTCGGTAACGAGTTAATGAAGCGGTATCATTTTTCCATATTTAATAATATAGTTAACTCGTAGAAGCAATTAGGAATTTTTAATGTCGCTTGTGTGTGTGCTCATAAATATTTATTAGCAATGAAGTATTGTTCTTCGGATATATTAGGGTGTGGCCAAACAGAATGAAAACCTATTTCATTATAAAAACGTTTTATTGCATCCTATATATACATACAATTTCTACTGTTAGTGACCTGCTTTACTCACTACATATTACCTTCGTGTGAATACACTGCTCAACAAAGATTTTTGCTGACACCTGACAGATATTATATCAATTTTGTCTTTTCCAAGAGTGCGAAGTCTGACGATTTACGTATATATACACATGTTTTTCATGAACAGAGTCATCTAGACCCTGAAGAATTCTTTTTCATCAAAACAGATGATTGAAAGGTTCAATGGTACTTTCTCTTTAGGACTTCAGTTGCGAATAAACAGAAAATTCGAACCAGTGGTACAGATGCTGTTCTTTGACATAGACCGCCAAAAACTGAATTAATTTGTATGTTCCTGTAGCATCACTGAATTCTACCACTTTTACTATTAACTAATTAAGTTAGGTACTACTACTGTTGTATATAAGAATTGTAGTTCAGTATGTTATATTCATTTCTACGGGGTTTGCGAAACGTGTCTGGAAAAAAATGCTTGTGAAAATTGTTTAATTATTGTTATGGATAAATGATGGAATTTGTGTAAACTTTCAATAGGAAATGTGTCGAATATCAAACAAATATGTATTATGTTTTCTTCTTTAGGATTTTTTCAACCAATGCCACTGCTTGTTTCATTCTTTGATGAGCAAATTCATTCTCGACAAATATTAATCAGCCACACCCCCTTATTGCTACCGATCCCTAAATGACCCCGTCTTTGTGTAACCAGTTTAGCCGATACAAACATTTTAAATGCTATAATCTGCCAATCTTAAACGAGCTTCTTTTCTAGTCATTTTGAACACGAGATGATGTTAATATTAGCATTTAAATTGATTCTCGCTACCGAGTTTTCAGTATCTGACACCTTGAATAGTCTAAATTCAATAAATCACGCACAAAATCGATTTTTTGTGAAGTGGCGTTTTCTTGTACAGTAAAACGGCATATCTTATTAACCACTGCACATAAAACGAGTATAACGATTTGAATTTCCATGGCTGTACAAAAATAACGAACAGACAATATCTGTTGTACATTCATAAAGAAAGGCCCACAACTGAACTATTTAACTTCAAAAGGAAGACAACAAAAATTATATTGACGATTATAAAGTATTAAATGAATTTAAAATGTGATAAACTCATAAAACTGCAAATTGTGCTTTCTCAACTATTACGTATTCTGAATATGGAATTTTCAGTTTGATAAATCTCATTAAATATTACGAAAGCAATCGATACCATCAATCACTAGTGGAGTGCTACAAGGTTCCATTTTGGGACCTATATTGTTCATCATATATACTAATGACATCATTTCGTTGATAAAGAAATGTAAAATATAATGGCTATTGCTGATAACACACATTTATGCAGTGTCTTCAAAATAAGGAGGGCTAGTACCTATGGGAAAATCAGAAACTGTGAGAGATACAAAGATGGTCAAAGTTGACGACTTAAGAACTTATTTTGAAAATTCAGGACATTTCGATAACGTTTGATACATCAGTGAAGTTGTCGCCAAGGAGGTTTAAAAGTAACGGGTGTTACTTTTTTCCGGTTCGCATAAAAAAAACAAAATTGGAGAAGAAACGTCAAATTGAAAATCTGTAAAAGCTTGGCAATAAAAACGCGTTTTGTTTCGTTTCGTTTTTTTTTCTTGAATATCCCCGAAATTGATGGGAATTTTATAGGTTTTGAAACGTCATTCAAATGAACCCTGAATGGGAATCTGTTTCTCAATTTATTCAAACGTGACTGATAGTATACCTATGCATTTCAAATCAAAGTGTTCAATGCTAGATTTGATCAATTGTCTATCATGATTTGAAACTTGATATATTAATAAAACAATGATGATCCGTTTTATATTTCAGAATAATCGTAAATTTGCAGAAAACAATTCATTTGTACCTAGGTCATACTATTTTGACACCTGTTAGTACAGCTGAAAACTTGTACCTGGCATCGACCTTATATTCAATAGTCTTGTCAAAAATTCAACGGAAAAAGCATATATGTCTTTGAAACTGCTATATTGCAATCATTTCATTTTGAGCCGATATGTAAAAATTATTTTCGATAGTTTGGTGATGTATGACTCGTCATTAAGGTTGCTCTATTTATAAATTGATCCCGCATACCCCTCTCTTGATACAGAAACTGATTATGTTTGAAGACATCCTAACAATAAATATAAGAAATAAAACAAATTAACCATTCCACAATATAGCACTTCCCTAATTCATATATCTTTTTTTAGTGCTGTAAAACTCTACAATTCTTTGCCTAATCAATTAAAGAGGTCCAATATCAGGAAATTCGAATGCAAATATGGAAATTATATATCACTGTTATTCGTTTTATCGTAAATTGACTTTGAGTTTGTGTAGCTCTGAGCTAGACTTCGCCAATGAGTACCAGAAACTCTTGTAATTTTTTCTTTCTGTTGTTTATATAAAAATTGTTGCAAACCATAACAGTTAAAAAAAATCTAATATATTTTTCTTTTTACAGGAATGATCGGTTCTTTATGTTGTCGACTATGGCTACTGTCACCTCTGGCATCATATCTCCAAATTCTTATGGCCTGACTCCAGGTGGGTATCAACAACTGTAGTTACAAAATAGAAGAATAGAAGTAACTCATTTTGACATAATAGTATATATTTGCGAGGATTTGTGTTTTCCTAACAAAATAATTGTGTTACCGTACAAATAATAAAAAAAAACACTAGATGAAAACAGATAAATTTACTCATCAGATTAGGAATTGCAACAACAAAATAGCAAGACCAATTGACTTTAATGCAGTAAAAACCATTAACCTTCATAAACTGAGTTGAATTTTAATAATCGCGATTTTAATTAAACGAATTAGTTCTTCAAGAAGCAGAACTACATCTCCCCAACAGCGGTGTAATGCAAAACCAAGCGTTGATTTCGACCACTGAATAGGAAATCGCTTTCTGTATCTCTCTGTGTCCAAAAAAGAACGACCTTGGAACTTTTGGTAACACATAAATTAGTATTTTGTGGATTCCGTTTTCAAAATGAATTTGTCAATAAGAGAGCAGTAAAACGTTACTAATTTCTTGGTTGTTATCAAAAATCTATATTCAGAACGAAATTCACCTATCAGAACATTTTTGTTGAAAAAAAAGAACGTCCTCCACTATATTTCGATACTTTTCCACTTCTCCATTTCCATGCCTGGAATTAAAGTAACTGGATTCAATTTTGAAATTATATGAATAATTCGATTGAAACTGTTGAAAAACTGCTGATTAGGAAACTATGGGTGAAAGTGATTTTTTTTTAAGTGGCATTCTATGTCAGTACCCTTTTATGCTTTTTGTTGTGTGAAGTTTTTAATGAGTGACATCTGTTCGATTCTTTCAGTAGTTCTCTCTGCAGTTCTCTGTTTGCAGAGAAAGCTGCAGGGGTGAAGAAAGCGATTTCCATTTCAATGTTGCAGCTTGAATTTCGTTTCAAAAATGATGTGCTCACTTGTCGAGAATTAAAAGAATCAGATTTATCTTTGAAGGGTTTTACATCCAGAAACTGTTTTTTGATAACTAATGAAACTTCATCAATGATAACCGAATAAGATAATTGACATTATTAGAATCACTGAAATTCAGTTATACGCATTCACAAACACAATAGCTTTGTCATGCAAATATGAAAATGTCCCTTTTTCTCACCGTATATTACGTATCACAACTCATCTCACAGAATGCACAGACGTTCGTTCAATAAATAACCAAAAAACGAAATATTTCCCAAATATTTGGCGTTAGCGATTCCGAGAAGTAAAATTTTAATTGTGGACAGTCTGCTTCCCAAATTCTTGCAAGTTTTTATTAAATTTTGTTAAAACCATGCACGTTCGTTGCCGCTGTATTCATTTGCAGAAATATTTAGATAAAAACCATACCAGACTCGAGTGAATTTTTGACATTTAAATAAAAAACGATGATCGGAGAATCCGACGCAAACTTGCCCACTGCCATAATTCGGTGTTTAAACACAAATCCAACAAGGCATTTAGAGGCTTTGATGATACTTGGGGCTCGATAAATTTATATACCGGGTATTTTTATTAGTGGATAAAAAAAGTACTGCTTATTGATCGGAGCTGTGTCACCTTTTGACGGACATTCACTTCTGACATGTGGATGCGATTAAGTGTAATTTTATAAAATGAATGACCATGACAATTTTTTCAATAATACACCAGCACATTGTAGTCAAGTGAAAAATATATACTTCGTTTTTTATATTTCTAGGTAAATATGTGTTGTAAGGTTATGTAGAGGTAGTTGTTGGACACGAGCTTTGGATCAAGTTCTCAATACGTTTATATTTTAGAGGAACATCATTAAGACACTTAGTCAATTCATATGGTAATTCAAATAGAAAGTCGATATGGATATAACCATTCATAACATTTCTTATGCTTTCTTCAAATTCAACTACAGTATTTATTTGTGTAGATCGATATTTTTGTTCATCGTAAAATTCCATAACCAGACCGAATTATTCTATAGCGTTTACTTTATGGTGCTTTAATAGTAACTCTTTCACATTTCGGTCGATACACTAACTATATTAACGAATCAAGTGGAATTGAAATGTTTGGTTGAACTGTACAAATTGTACAGACACAAATGGATAAATGTTGTATTTTATATCGACTTTCTTTCATTATCAGTTAGTACATGCCTGAGGAAGCTACTGTATAGCGAAACACGTCTTTCAGTAATTTGAATGATTTATCGATCTTAAGAAACATAGCAATAAATATTACTCACAATTAGCAAAGAAATGATTATCATTGAGTTGAAATCACTTTTGAATTAGAAAACTTCGCAGATCTATGAAAGATATATAACAGCGCCAATTTGTGTAAATGTGAGAATGATAACGGTAGAGTGTATTACTACAACTCGTTGCTCGAACGTCAACTATTCTGATAACGAAATGTACCACAACGAAGCGCTCAATTTGAGCGAATATACTGAAAACAACAACGTCAATAACTGCTTTAATAGTAACTCTTTCACATTTCGGTCGATACACTAACTATATTAACGAATCAAGTGGAATTGAAATGTTTGGTTGAACTGTACAATTGTACAGACACAAATGGATAAATGTTGTATTTTACATTGACTTTCTTTCATTATCAGTTATTACATGCCTGAGGAAGCTACTGCATAGCGAAACACGTCTTTCAGTTATTTGAATGATTTATCGATCTTAAGAAACAGCAATAAATATTACTCACAATTAGCAAAGAAATGATTACCATTGAGTAGAAATCACTTTTGAATTATAAAACTTCGCAGATCTATGAAAGATATATAACAGCGCCAATTTGTGTAAATGTGAGAATGATAACGGTAAAGTGTACTACTACAGAAAGCAAGGAGGTGAAGTATCCAAATAAGTCATAAAACTTTTTACCTGTAACACAAACGACACAATTCGAAGCGTTTTCCCCAAGTAATTCTCAATTGAATTCTATGGCATAATTACAAAGCGTTGACATTATTTATCATGTATGAAACCACTTATGTACTACTAGTTTATATAGAAATGTAATTCAATTAACATATTACGTTTTAATCTCTGTCAAATATGGTATATATATCATCCACTCATTTGTTGATAGCAAGTATACTACGTGTTTCTCCAAATCTACGACTAAATTTTTCAAAAATATGACAACAAATTAGAATTAGATATTCTGAATTGTAATGTTAAGATAATATTGGCAATTCTTGCATACCAACTAAATTGAAGTATGATAATTATACTAATGATTTCAACTCCACCTGATTATTACTTGTATTTTTTTCTTTTAAAACTACAATAAGCAATATTTGCGTCTTTCAAAATTTTTAAAATCATTTCCATTATGCACAAATTGACTACTTTACTCACGGATTAACTCTGAGTACCTCCCTGTTCATTAAGAACTACACCCAAAATTATCGAAATTGAGTTCATATTTTGATGAAATTGTTTTTAGAGCCAATCAAATTTAGTTTTTCCAAATCAATTTTTTGAGTGAGCCCGATATAGTTCTTTACTCATTAGATATAAATAAAAAAAAATGAAATCTAAAAAAAATTACACAACGATCACGATGTGGAAGCACAATGTTTCATTTTGACGTCCATCTTTTGAAAGTGCAGAAATGAAATCAATTTCATTTTACATTATCGACATACTGAGAATATCAATATTTTTACAATTTTACGACCATTTCCAACTGTTACTAAAAAACAAATAATTATTCAAATTTTCAATTCTAACAATTCATTAAAATATTCTAATGTTGAAGCCATAACTATCGCCAACGATAATCTTATTTACAATGGACTGAATAGATCTTCATTTCGAATCATTGTTATGACTTTACGCCTTTTGCCTTGAAAACAATTATGAATATCAATAATATATGTGAAGTTTACTGTGAAACAGGTACCGCTATTTGTTGAGAGAAGTGTATACTTACTTCATCGTTGTCATCGTTAGAATACATAAGTGAAATTTTTAAGCTCCTTCAAAGTCATCACATTTGTGTACATATAATTTTAACAAAATTCTGACATAATAATTGTACTCTTCACGCCTAAAAGTCAACTAAATGTCAATTTTCATCGAGCAAGTTTTTCCTCATTCAGACAGTAATTACATTATTTATGGACTTTTCAATATCATAGTCAAACATTGCATAAAGACTCATGCTCTTGGTGTATCGAAATGCACATATGGAACTTTGCCGTTAGTTTCGAGAAATTGTTTGTTCATAAAGTGTTTCTCATTCCAGCATATGACAAAGACTACAACCGGAAATACAATTCGATATTTTTACAATCAATTATCTTTTACAGATCCAATCAAAATGACCACCGAAAACGATGATGACTACCCTCGCTACCACCCTTCAGAGCCGTTCGATTCGAATATGAATTCCAGCGACTCAGATCAGGACAACTACGTGGCTTCACCAAAAAGCGAGCTCCCGAAGCGTAATAAAAGAAAAAATTTCAAACCTCGTTGCTCGAACGTCAACTATTCTGATAACGAAATGTACCACAACGAAGCGCTCAATTTGAGCGAATATACTGAAAACAACAACGTCAATAACAACGTGAGACGAAGAAAAACGTTGTCAACGCGGAAAGTAGTCATGGACCCTAGATTCAGTCCGATGGATCTGAGTAAAGCCAATGACAGCGAATCCAACAGCGATTCTGAGTTCAACGAGAACTATCCGAACTCCGAGAACGATGATGATGGGAACGAGAACAGTAGCGAAAATGATTCCAAAATACCGCAGAGCTTTTCAATTCATAACCTCTCCAAACCACACGTCCCGGATTTTCCTCAAAACCCGCCACATTTGAGCCAGGATCAGGTCATCGAAATGAGGCAGTACGCGATGAATACCATGAGGGAGTTGCTAGGCATATACGGATTGACTTCGGAAGTAGCGGAAAGCATATCGAGGCAACTCCCAATGGCGGCATTCAGTAGCGGTAAGTCTAAAAGTATTGCTCAATCTATAGGGTGTTTTCGGTCTTTATGCGCAGATGTACTCGAAAACTTGAGAGGAAAAAAATCCTGAGACCATTTTTTGTATGACGCTGAAAACTAGCAAACACTGGTAATCCTTGTGGTGAGTGATAATGATTCGGCAGTACTCAGAGATAAGCTAGTCGTACTGAGTGTCAATGATACGAGTGATCTCATTTGCATCTTAACATGTCATCAAATTAGTTTTAATTTACCTCCCTAGCGGATGAATATACTTGTTTTTATTACGTACATAGAGCCGATTACATTACCAGCATTTATATCGATTCTGTGGAATGGATCTGAATACGTTGATAAGCCAAGATCTGTGAACCAATCGAAAGGACTAGCTACACGTGCGTTGTTGCCACGTAGTAAAATAACACACTGATATTTTTTTCCAAAACTTTTAAGTAAAAAAGTAAAATGCCATCAAGGTTTCCGTTCAGAGTAAAATGATAATTATAACACTTTCGAATCGATAAGATATGAAATATAGTTTCATATCTTGTTCACAAAGTTTGGGTTTGAACTTAAATTAACTAATACCAGACCACTGAGGCATGTGAAAACTGTAGGATAAAAACATTTTTATCTTTCTACTCCTCAGTTAAACTTTAAAGAGTGAAACACTTTCAAAGTCAATAAAATTGTTTCAGAAAGATGTGTAGATAATGTACAGAAGGTCTGCTTAGATACAAGCCGGAAAATCCGTAGCCACTTCTTTTGATTATGAACTTTGAATTGCACGGATATCACTTTTTCTTCGAAATGGAACTTGAACAAATATAATTCACAGCATCACTACACAACGGAATATATAAAAGACTATTGGTATAAAATTTGAGTGAGTAGTAACTGGCTCTTGGTAGATGTAAACACACTTTTGAATTGAAGGTGTTTTCAACGTAACTTTATCATGAGTTAAGCACAGTGATACTAGTGTTACATAACAAACGGTGAATGGTGAAGTCTTCTTCAACAACATTGACTTCCTTGATCTACTGTAACATTTGAACTTTGTCTTCCTTAAGGTCCATAAAGTATTTTACATTTTCTATTTCCCACTAGTTTGTCAGGAAACAAAAAAAAAATAATAATTTATCAACTCACTTCAACAAATCAACTTATTAAGACCAATAACCTCTTAATGAGGTTGTTGTTTATAGGATGAAGAAAATAACTTTTGTCTGATTTCCAGTATTTTATTTGTTACTACCGGTTTCGGTTTGTTGAACCATTTTCAAGTAAACTGATACGTTTTATTAAATACAATGATACAGTCAGGTATCTGCCTCAGGTACCTAAAATAACAAATGTTACCTGAATTATCAACACCAATACTGAAACAATAACTATTTATCTTCTATAATGCATCAAGATTACCAACCATGGATTCCCAAAAACCTACTTGTGGATTTTGCCAGCTACCGATGGATCTTAAACTAGTTGTCAAAATTCACAAATGTTACCTGAATTATCAATACCAATACTAAAACAATAACTATTTATCTTCAAAAATATATCAAAATTACTAACTATATATCCCCAAAAACCTACTTGTGGATTTTTCCAACTACCAATGGATCTTAAACTAGTTGTCAAAATTCACAAATGTTACCTGAATTATCAGTACCAATATTAAAAAAATAACTATTCATCTTCTATAATATATCAAAATTACCAACTATGGATCCTCAAAAACTCACTTGTGTATTTTTCCAGCTACCAATGGATCTTAAGCCAGTTGCCAAAATTCAGAAATTCAAAAGGGGAGAGCTGCATACTTCTAGTAGATCATTGAGGATTTTGAAATTGGGGTTTATATACATTTTATTCAGCTATCTTTATACATTTTATTCAGGAATAGGACACCCTGAGAGTAGAAAAAATTGTTGATAATAATGTTTATTAACTTTTGAGATTCACTGGAATATCGGTGGTTTATCAAAAGGCGGATAGATTGGCAATGTCTTTCGATGTTTTTTTTTATATCTCGAACATGTTTAACAAAACGTCCAACACAAATAAAATTCAAGAGTTATTGGAGCAATACTTGGCTACCAACCTTGAATTCTCATTCGAACCGTAGAAACGATTATTTCTATCAAATTACCATGTGACCATTGTCAGTTTGCCAACGGAAGAGTGTTAATGTATCATCGTGATGGGATTCAATGAAATTAGGTGTTCCTTGTTAGCGTTTGGTGAAAACAAAAAACACAAAGAGAATTTTGGATAATTCTATCCAGAAACTGCTATTGATCAGTTTCAGTTGACCTAAACAAAAAAAAATGATGGTGAAAAAAAGAGTACTCAGTAATACAAAATAATTGGGTTAACTGGAAGGTGCATTTTCGTAACTTGATTGCAAGTTTTGATCTATTCAATAACCTGAACTGAAATTTCAATTGTCAGGTATGTCAAACAAGAAAATTGTATTCTCCACATTTAGATGTGAATGGGATCTTTTTAACTATATTCGTGGTTATTTTCACTTCCATAAAAACTTGAGTTATTTTCAATTAAACCCTGTATTTCTAACGGTTTCAAGACAATAATATATACTTTATCTGAAATCCAATCCATTGATTTCGGTAAATGGTGTAAAGTCCTCGCTTGGGAGTAGGAAGATTGAGGCTCTTACAGAGGCCAGTAACGAGACCCAAGAAGTAGGAAGTTTAGGAGCCCAGTGTAGTCATACCTTCTTGAACATGGCTTCAAAGTCGAAAAGTCAACCAACTAAAAACATCAGACGCGGTTCAACGCGGACTCAAGATTATTAGATTGCTGACCGCGGAAAGTTTTCCGAACATAGCAAGTAATTTTAATATCAATACGAGTTTGTAGCCATGTTTAGAGAAATACATTAAAAAAAGTTAGTTTTTTCTCTTCAATTGGAGATGATTTCGCAGAAAGATTTGTGTGTGTGTGTGCACACGTTTCATTACCCGCAGTTTTATAACTCGCTACAGTTGATTAAAAAAATTGGATACCAGGTTTCTAACAAACTTATCTTACATATTACGTATATCCGCATATGTTATCACCTGGTTATAGTTCATTCAAAAATGGGCAGTCATCTTTCAAGTGGAACCCGAATCTTTAATACCTTCAGCCATCCAATTTAAAACCGAACAAAGCGTTTATAAGAAATCTAATCAAGATTTTCAACAAGATATAGGTCCATTTCTGATTCTCGCAATTCAATAATTCAACCCAACCACCAAACGTTCTCAATACAAGCACACGTACGTTTTTTGTGGGACCCCTATCACATTACCTGGGACCCTGTCGAACAAAAAGTTTAAAAAGGCGTAAAAAATCGTTTAACCTTTGTGAAATATTGACCCCGGAGCCTAATGCAGCTTCCTTTACCACTTTACTTACACGTAAAATAGCGAAGGATCGCTCGAAAAAAGTTCTTGAAAGGATTAAGAGAAGGGCATCGGTTGAGATTTTGCAAAAATTAATCGAGTGCCGAGGTAGATTTTCGGGGTTGTATTATCGTGGGAAAGGGCATTTATACTGAAAACAATGAGAGGAACGGTTAGATTTATCCGCATTCTGTATTCGAGGCGGCGAAGTGGTATTGTTTGTGTTCTGCTTATTCAGATGGATTTTATCTTTTTTAGAGTCCTATTTTTGAGTTTGATTCATGAACTCGGACTGTTTTGTAACTTCGAAATACTGCTACTTTGAAATTGAAGTTTGTCAATATTTTCATCAAATCTCAAGTTGAAAAAAGAAACCGTTTTTAATAATTGTACTCTTAGATTGGACTTGGAATTCTAATAATGTTCTACACAAAAGTACGGTATTGAAAAACCTCAGAATACCAATGAGTTCTTTTTATCAATAATCCAAACCAGTTATTGTTAATGAACAAATTACAATTATGTAAGCGTTTCCTATTAGATAAATAGGTAAAATGGTCTATGACTTACACTTCAAAACCAATCACAGTTGACCATAAAGATGAGTAATTTCTTAACTTCACAGTTATGCTTTAATTATTTTCAATCGAGATAAGATTTGGGAATTTATCTACTTCGAAATAGTTCTCAAATGTCAAACTTGATCATTGAACTGCAATTTACTTTTGAAATACAGTTTCTAAGGAAAAACAGGAAAAATAACATGGAGTCGGGAAGTGAAAACGAGTGTATATCTCACTAGAAATTCAAAATGTGGCGAAAGTTCATCATTTGATAACGGAATGTGCGTTATTAGAAAATAAATATCTATATTTCACATCAAATTTTAACCTGCTTCTTGAAGACGTTGTAACAGAACGGCGGTCTGGGGTCATCCTATTTTTTTGTCAACCAATCGATATTCAAACCATTGTGAATTGAACAAAATAATTTAAATAAAATTGATATATTGAATATAATAACAGGTTGCTTCTGGTTATGAAATTTAATGTTATTTCTGTCATTCGAGGTATCCTTCGTGAATGAATATATTTGAAAATATTTCTGTTGCAAAGTCCTAGAAAAAGTATTGTGTTCTACTCACGAGAAATGGCCACTACTCGCTCAAATGATTGACAAGGAACTCCATACTCACGAATGAGTATGGAGTGAATAAATATGCTATTGTTGACATTTAACAAACATATCTGTATGAATGATATACCTCTTTGACTTCTTTCATATCGGTGAATTTGGAACGATCATCATATTCAGGATGTGAGTTGGATAGTATTTTCATCCTATCTTTATTCAAAATATTCTCAAAACAACAATATTTCGATGTATTCAATTGTTTTGTTAGGTGGAGTTTCAATATGTTTCCTCTTCTTTAATATCAATAAATCAGGTGACTTCTGTGATTTAAACAATAAAAACTCTTTTCAAAAAAAAATGAACATCTAGTAGTCTACTTCACATATTTTTTCAAATCCACTGAATAGTGTTTGATAAATGAATTTTTATGTGTATCGTCTTCATGAAAGATT